AACTCACAACCCTGAGATCAAGAGTTGCACGCTCCACCGAATAAGCCAGCCAGGTGCCCCTAAATGTCAATGGTTTAAATACACCAATTAAAAGTCAAGGATTGTCAGAGTGGGTAAAAAACCAAGACCCAACTGTATGTTGTCTAAAAGAAGCCCACTTTAAATATAAAGACACAGGGCACCTGGGTGGCTCAGTGGGTTAAGCCTCTGCCTTTGGCTCAGGTCATGGTCTCAGGGTCCTGGGATTGAGCCCCGCATTGGGCTCCCTGCTCGGCGGGGAGCCTGCTTCCCCCTCTCTCCGCCTGCCTCTCTGCCTGCTTGTGATCTCTCTTTCTCTCTCTGTGTCAAATAAATAAAATCTTAAAAAAAAAAAAAGACACATATAAAGCCAAGGGATGGAAAAAGATATACCATACTAGCACTAACCAGAGCAGACAGAGCAGACTTCGGAGAAAGTAAAATTATCATGGATAAAGGGGGGGCAATACAAAATGATGGAAGGATCAGTACTCCATGAAGGCACAACAATCCTTAATGTGTATATGTCTAACAACAGGGCCTCGAAATATACAAGCCCCTAACTGATAGAACTGCAAGGAGAAATACAGGAATCCGCTGTTACAGTTGGAAACTCTGACATCCTCTGCCAGAAATGGACACATACAGTTAGGCAGAAAATGAGAAAGAACATAGTTGAAATCAGCAACACCATCAATCAACTGGATACAATTGATGTCTATAGACCATTTCATCCAACAACAGATTACACATTCTTCTCAAGCTTACATGGAACATTCTGGGCCATAAAATATATCTCAATGAATTTCAAAGAACTAAAAATCATACCATGCATGTTCTTAGACCATAATGGAATTAAACTAGAAATTAATAACAGAAAGGTAACTGGAAACTCCCCCAAATACTTGGAAATTAAACAATAGACTTCTAAGTAACACATGGGTCAAATAAGAAGTCTCAGGAGACATTTTTAAATATTTTGAACGACATAAAAATAAAATGGCAACTTATCAAAATTTGTGGAAATTATCAAAAGCAATGCGTCGATGGAAATTTATTGCACTGAATGCGTATGTTAGGAAAGAAGAAAGATCTAAAATCAATAATCTAAGTTTGACCTTAGAAAAGTAGAAAAAAAGGAGAGTAAATTAAATCCAAAGTAAGTAAAATAAAAGAAATAATAGAAATTAGAGCAGAAGTCAATGAAATTGAAAACAGGAAATCAATAAGGAAAACCAACAATACCAAAAGCTAGTTCTTTGAGAAAAAAATCAATAAAACTGACAATCTCCTAGCCAGGATAATTAAAAGAGAAAAAAGAGAAAAATAGGTCAACAGAACAGAACAGAGAGCCCAGAAATAGAAATCAAATTAAACTGATCTTTGATAAAGAAGCAAGACAATGCAATAAAGCAAAGATAATCTTTTTCACAAATAATGCTGGAACAACTGGACACTCACATGTAAAACAAAAAAATGAAGAAATTATACCAATTCTTTACAATTTCTTTCAGAGGATAGAAGCGGGAGAACACACCCTAACTCATTCTATGAGGCTAGTGCTACCCTAATACCAAGACTAGACAAAAGTACAAGAAAGGAAAAGAGATATTGAAAGATCAATATCATCTCATAGATGCAAAATTCTTCAACAAAATTTAGCAAATGGAATCTAAGGTGTATAAGAAGAATTATATACCATGACGAAGAGGGATTTATTACAGTATGTATGTATGTATGTATGTATATATATATGTGTGTGTGTGTGTGTGTGTATTTTAAATATTTTATTTATTTATTTGACAGACAGGGATCACAAGTAGGCAGAGAGGCAGGCAGAGAGAGAGGGGGAGGCAGGCTCCCCATTGGGCAGAGAGCCTGATGTAGGGCTCAATCCCAGGACCCTGGGATTATGACCTGAGCTGAAGGCAGAGGCTTTAACCCACTGAGCCACCCAGGTACCCCATATATGTGTGTATATATAATGGAACATTATATATCCTTTAAAAAAGAAGGAAATTTTCCCATTTGCAACAACATGGATGACCCTGGAGGGCATTATTCTAAGTGAAATAAACCAGACAGAGAAAGACAAATACTGTGTGGTATTACTTCTATGTGGAATCTTTTTTTTTTTTTTTAAAGATTTTATTTATTTGTCAGAGAGAGAGAGGGAGAGAGAGCAAGCACAGGCAGACAGAATGGCAGGCAGAGGCAGAGGGAGAAGCAGGCTCCCTGATGAGCAAGGAGCCCGATGTGGGACTCGATCCCAGGACGCTGGGACCATGACCCGAGCCGAAGGCAGCTGCCTAACCAACTGAGCCACCCAGGCGTCCCTTCTATGTGGAATCTTAAAAAAAAAAAGAAGAAAGAAAGAAAGGAAGGAAGGAAGGAAGGAAGGAAGGAAGGAAGGGAGAAAGATTGGACAGATAGAAACAGAAACACAGTAGATTGCCAGGGCCTGGGGCAGGGGATGAGGAATGGGGAAAGGTTGATAAAGGAATACCAACTTTCAGTTATAACATGACGAAGTTCTGAAGATTTAAGATAGAGTATGGTGACTGTAGTTGATGATAGTGTATTGTGTAAATGAAATTTGTTAAGAGGGTAAATCTTAAGTGTTCTTACCACATATGAACACACACACACACACACACACACACACACACACACACACACACAGTGTGTTTCTTACAGAAACGATTCTTATGAAACTAAATATACTCTAAGATCCAGCAATTGCACACACTGGCATTTACCCAAATGAACTGAAAACATGTCCATACAAAAATCTGCACGTGGATGTTTCTTCAGAACTGCCCAAACTTGGAAGCAACCAAGGTGTCTTTGAGTAGGTGAATGGATGAATTGTGGGACATATGATGGAATATTATTTACAGCCAAAAAGAAATGAGTTATCGAACCATGAAAAGACACGGAAGAAACTTAAATGCATATTAGTGAGGGGAGAGGGATGATTGGGAGGAACACCAAGGATTTTTAGGTCTGCGGAACCACTCTGTATGACATGACAATGGTGGATACATTCATCTACCAATACCACAGAATGTACGACACCAAGAGGGAACTCTTGTGTAAACTATGGACTTCGGGTGACAATGTGTCATTGTGGATTCAATTGTACCAAATGTGCCATTGTACATGAGATGTTGATAGTGGGAGAGGCTGTGCGTATGTGAGGACAGGGAGGATATGCGAATCCTCTGTACTTTCTGCTCAATTTTTCTGTGAACCCCCCAAAATGCTGTAGAGATAATTTTATCAATTAGATAAAAAAACAACCAACCAAAACAAAAATCTCAGCAACCTTGCTGATCTAGGAATCCTAGCAAACCCAAAGAAGGGTAAACACAAAATCATACCCAACTACATCATGATCAACCTGTTGAAAACCAAGAGTAAAGAGAAAATCTTAAAAGCCAAAGGAAAAAAGACGTAGTACGTACAGGAGAGCAACAAGAACCACAGCCAATTTCTCATGAGAAGTTGTCATTTCCTACATCAGCCAGAAGACCATGGAACAATATCTTTAAAGTGCTAAAAGGGAGGAAAACTGCCAAACTCTCATTTTATATTCAACTGAAAATATCTTTTTTTTTTTAAGATTTTATTTATTTGACAGATAGTGATCACAAGTAGGCAGAGAGGCAGGCAGAGAGAGAGGAGGAGGCAGGCTCCCGTTGAGCAGAGAGCCCGATGCGGGGCTTGATCCCAGGACCCTGGGATCACGACCAGAGCCAAAGGCAGAGGCTTTAACTCACTGAGCCACCCAGGAGCCTCAGAAGACAGTTTTAGAAAAAAGTGGGAGGATTCGTTGTCAGTAGACCCATACAGGCAGAGCTAAAGGACGTTCTTTAGGCTGAAGACAAATAATACCAGATGGAATCTGGAGCTACAGGAAATCGTTAGAAATGATAACTGTATCAGTAGAAATGAACGACTATTTTCCTAACTTCTTTCAAAGTCAATTGTTTAAAGCAGTAACAACAATGTATTGTGGGGATTATAACAAATGCAAAAGTGAAATGAATGACAGTGATAGAGCAAGGTGAGAAGGGGGCAAATTATACAGTTGAAACATTCCTATTTATACATGAAGTGGTATAATATTAATTCAAGCAAATTGTGATAAGTCAAGGATGCCTATCGTTATTCTTAGAGCAACTGTGAAAAAATAACACAAAGTCATAGAGATAAAATGGGGCTGTAGACAGTATTCAGTCTAAAAGAAGACAGGAAAAAGGGAAAAAAATTAAAAGATGGGGTCAAGAGAGGCCAAATCGCAAGATGGTGGGATGGTTGACTTAAATGGAACCGTATCAATAACTCTACATATCATTAAAGGTAAATGTACTCAACAGTCAAGACTGTTTAAAAAATAAGCCCCGAGTATATGCTGTTAACCAGAGATAGACTTTGAATAGAAAGACAGGGTTGAAAGGAAAAGGACTGAAAAAGATATACCAATGCAAATGCTGAGTATAAGAAAGCTGGTATGTTTAATTTAGTATCAAAGCAGAATGCAGAGCAAGGAGTATCACTAGAGAGAAAGATATTAATTTCATAAGGTTGACATTAGAATCCTGAACATGTATGCACCTAAAAACAAAGCTTCAAAACACACTAAGCAAAAACTGACCAAACTAAAGGGAGAAATAGACAAATCTACAATCATAGTTGGAAAGATGGGAGTGAAAGAGAGAAAAATAGAGGGTCAGAGAGACAGAGACAAGGAGGAAAGAGAGAGAAACAGATACAGAGACAAAGAGCCCAAGTGAGGGAGAGGGATGTGACCTGATCCTAACAGGACCCAGAGACAAGGGACAAGGAAAGAGAGAGATGCACCATGTCCTGGACGGAGGGAGGGTCGGGAGCTCTGGTTGTGGCACATGGAGCCAGAGCAGGGGTCTGGACCTGTGGGATCCTGGAGGGGGTGCTGTAGGGTGGGCAACATCACTCACCCGCTGCCCCGTGGAGCCTTGGGGGCCAGGCTCCCCACGCAGTCCCTGTGTGGGAGGGAGGAGAGGTATGAAGTCAGCTATTGGGGGGTATGACCCAGGACTTCCCAGAATCCTCCACCAGGGGCTGCCTCAGTACTCACTCTCTCTCCCTTCTCTCCTGGGTGGCCGGAGATTCCTTTGGGTCCAATGGGGCCTGGGGGTCCCTGAGCAATAAGACAGGGCCTCAGTCTTGTGCTGAGGCAGGATGGGGTAGGCAGGGATTTGTAGGGGCAGAGGGGTAGAGGAGGGCGCCTCAGTTTGGCTTGGCATCTGGGTTCTTTCCCACACTCCCTGGTACACAGCAGTGACTTTGTACAGCTCAGGGTTCAGAGTTCTGGCCCTGGAGTCAGAGAGTTTGTGCCCTGACCTGGAAGTTGCCATGTGCTGGCAGCAGCCCTAGGTCAAGAACCTCTATCTTTCTTGGCCGCCATGTGTGGACAATGCTTGCTTCTCCTTATGTGGACTGAATGAAAAGATTTATGGAAAGTAGTTTGCGTATTAAGTGCTCCATAAATGCTTGAATGAATGAATGATGGATGGATACCTGGATGGATGGACAGATACGTGGACTCATAAGCGGGTGTGTGGATGAATGGATGGAACAGATTAGTGGGAGCAACCGGAGATTTACTCACCATGTGTCCAGGACTCCCAGGGATGCCCATGGGACCAGGAAGTCCAGGGGGACCTGGAATAAGACAGGATGTCCTCAGGATCGAAACAGAGTACAATGCCAGGAAGTCCACCATTCACTCCCTCCTGAGAGCCACAGCCTTAGGCCCTCTGCCATTTTCCAGCCCCACTCTTTACCCTGGACCTGGACTCAACTTACCCATGGGCCCTGGGGGGCCTGGGAGTCCAGATGGTCCCTGGGGCCAGTGGCTGCTAGTCTCAGTGAAGGTGTTGGACAGTAAGGGGTCCCCTGGCGGGGAGGGAAAGATGGTGAGTGAGCAGGGCTGAGCTTCAGCATGACCGTCAGTCTGTACCTGCCTCCTCTGCCAAGCCAACTGTGACTGCCCTGTGGGATAGCCTGCCGTGTGGCTGGGGCTCCTGGACAGCTGCTCTAGGGATGGGGAGGGTGGAGAGTATTGGTCACACAGGACCAGGAGGCAGGGAGACCTGGGTACTAACCCTACCACAGTCTAACTTGTGACATCCAGCAATAATTCAGCTTGCTGAGCCCGTACTGCCACATGTCAGATGGGGACACTAATAAAAGCTACTGTTTACTGACAACCTACTTTGCGCTGGGCTTCTGTGTGTGGGGGTCATGGAGCTCTGGGAGAACTCTATAGTCGCTCTCTCCATTGTACAGATGAGGAAACTGAGGCTTGGGGAAGAAGAAGGAGTGGTGAGATGGAATGAATGGCTGGATGGAGGAATAAATGAATGGTGCCCAGCCATACATCAAAGAAAAGGCACAGGTAGGGGTGAACGGGGCACTCCAAGGTCTGACCACTGGCAGCACGCATGGAGGTCAGGCTGGGGACGAGGCGAAGGATACACATCAGGGCCCTCCTGGGCGGAAGGGGCTCTGAGCACAGGACCAGGAAGCGCAGAGCTCATTTCCTGCTGCCAGGCCTGGAGCTTTCGGTACTCTGAGGACTGGACCCTGGCCAGCTCCAAGGCTTGGCAGGAGGGCCTGATGCCGGTGGTTCCAAGCACAGGCTCCAGAGGATGCCTGGGTTTGAGCTGGCCCCCCTCCCCCATGTCCTGGCTATGTGATCACCCCTCCCTTGCCCTCAGTTTTCCTCATCTGAGAACAGAGCAGGACAATGGCATCTGTCAGAAGACTAGATAACACGTAGCTGACCAAAGGCAAGCCTGGTAAACAGAAGGTAGATAGCAGTGGTATTGGGGTAATGGTTATGCCGGCCTTGTCCCCACCCCCACCATTATCTGACGTGACCCCAGAGGACTTACCATACTGGGGGTTCCAGGTGTGGGGTGGTCCGACAGGGGCTGGGGGCCCAGGAGGCCCAGGAGGCCCTGGTGGGCCTGGAGGTCCCCTCTCTCCAGGGGTGCCCATAGCTCCGGCCTGGCCAGGGTTTCCTGGGGGGCCCTGAGGACCTACAATGGAACCAGGGAGTTGGTGGGTATCTAGGAGGCAGGGAAGCCCAAGGGTGGTTGCAAGGAGGCAGGAGAAGGCAGCCTGGGGGAGCAGAGTATAAGAGGGCTTCAGAGGCCACAGGCCCAGGACTGTCCTGGCTCTGACCTCCTTGGCCATCTATCAGAGGGATGGACAGCCCTCTTCAGGGGCTTTAGGACAATGTACACTTGGTACTTAGTAGATTCTTAGGAAATGTTGATTTCCAGGATGTTCTCTCCTTTCCCTTCCAGGCTTTTGAATGAGTTGTTCGCTCTACCAGTCTTTGCTCTGCCTGGTGTCCCCTTCAAGTCATCCTTTAGGCTTCAGCTAAGATGTCACTCCTACCAGGAAGCCCTTCCCACCCCTACCCCATCCAGGCTGGGTCTCCGCTTACTTCCTTGGGCCTCCCGTACCTGCAACGTCCCCCAGAAGAACACTGGTCCCATGGCGGGGGGCACTGCTGTTCCTCCTCTGCCTAGGTGCCCCCCTCCCCCTGGTCTGGGAGCTACGGGAGGCATGAACTGGTCTGAGCCCACCCCAGTGCCCAGCTCAGAGCCTGCTAGGGTAGGTGCCTAGGAAGCATGGGTCCAGTGAAGGCAAGAGAGGGCTTCAGGGAGCCGTGGCGCAAGTGGAGGTGGGTGAGTTGAGACACAAGTGGGTAGAAGGGGCCCAGGCTACCTTTGGCCAACAAAGGGTTCACTGACAGGGCTGAGCTGGGTAGCTGAGGGGAGGGTCAGTGCTGTGGGCACTCACCTGGTGGGCCTCTCATCCCCATTGGGCCTCGGCTGCCAGTGTCTCCCTTGGGACCGGTGGGCCCAGGAAGCCCCTGGGTGCCAACTCGATCTGGGGGAGAAAGTTCATCAGCTTGGCAGCTCTGGCTTTCCTCTTGCCCTGACCCTGGCCCCAGCACCCCAGCCAGCACCTACCATCTCGAGGGAGCAGTGGGGCCCTCATGTTCTCTCTGGCTCCGGGTAGCCCTGGGGCAAGGAGGTAGGCAGGGGTCAGTGTCATCCAGGGTCCCTGCCCCCAGCTCCCACCGTGTGGGGAAGGGGCGGTGGGGCGGCCAGGCCCCATCCCCTCCGGCCCACCGGAGAACTGAGAAGACCGAGGCCCAGAAGAGGGTCAAGCTGGGGTGGGGACTGGAATCACTCCCTTGATTCATTCCCATGTGGGAGCACCCCCCGCCATGACACACTCACCTCGGAGGCCTCCATCCCCAGGGCTGCCCTGGGCTGCTGGGGAGCCCCAGAGTGGGACGAGGTCCCCAGGGGCAACTGGGGTTGGGAGCACTGCCCGCTCAGTGACAGTGAGCACGGCCACCTGTGGAGAAAGAGGAAGACAGGGTAGGTCCAGGGTCTCAAGAGGGACAGGCTAGCTGAGGGGGCCCCCGGCTTGGTCACAGGAGGCCTGCGCAGCCAGCAGAACCCAGGTTGGATTGGAGACCCAGGGCCCAGAAGTGACTGTGATTTTCAAACTGCACAATTCATCCTTAGGAAAGCCATTACACACTGTCTCCACCACCCCAGGGGAGTTCTGGGTCACTGTGTGTTTGCTGGGTCATTGTGTGTTTTTCCTCTGCTGACCTGCATTGATAATTTGAAACTTCTCTTGGTCTCTTAAAGCACCACAAGCTTGAAGGATTTTTACAAAATTTGGAAGGAAGTTTGGGAGGGTAGGAAATGAACTAAAGGCCGCGGGGTGTATACAAAACCACTCCAGGACCCAGTGTGGGGGAGCCTCTGAAAGGTCAAGGGTGCCTCCTGAGCCATTGACCGAGGATTAAAAAGGGGCCAGAAGGGGCACCCAGGTGGTTCAGTCAGTTACGCGTCTGATTCTTGATTTCAGTGCAGGTGGTGATCTCAGGGTTGTGAGATCGAGCCCCACTTTGGGCTCTGCACTCAGCCCAGAGTCTGGTTGGGATTCTCTCTCCTTCCCCTCTGCCCCTCCTCCCGCTCACGTGCACACAGACACACACACACACACACACACACACACACTCTCTCTCTCTCTCTCTCTCTCAAAAATAAATAAATAAAACCTTTAAAAAGGGGGGACAGAATGCCCATTGACCAGGGGTGGGGGTCCAGAGAAAAGTTGAAACTCTTGGGCAGACCCAAAATGGAGAACCACGCCCCAGATCTGAGACTGAGCCCCTCATACTGGCCGGGAGTCCGGGAGCAGTGTGGGCTTCCCAGAACTCCCCAACCTCATAGCGAGGGTTCTGGCACACATCGGGGGCATCCTTTCATGGGACAAAATGGAGATGTTGTGAATGGCTGTTTTTCTGCAGAGCCACGCATGCTAACTCCGCAACCATCCCTTCAGCCGTCTGGATTTCAAATTTCTCTATCCATTATTAACGTTTTGGTAAACATCTTCACATCGACTCTCCTTAAGATAAATTCCCAGAGGGGCGCCTGGCTGGCTCAGTGGGTTAAAGCCTCTGCCTTCAGCTCAGGTCATGATCCTGGGGTCCTGGGATCGAGCCCCGCATCGGGCTCTCTACTCCACGGGGAGCCTGCTTCCTCCTCTCTCTCTCTCTCTCTGCCTGCCTTTCTGCCTACTTGTGATCTCTGTCTGTCAAATAAATAAATAAAATCTTAAAAAACAAAAACAAAAACAAAAAACAAAAAACAAAAAAAACAAAAAAAAAAGATAAATTCCCAGAGTGACAGAGGAAAGGATACGCGGACAAAGTATGTACGTCTCTGCGTGTACTTAGAAAATCTGGAAGAGAAGATGCTTAAATGTTGACCGTCGCTCTCTCTGGGGGTACAAGTGACTGTTGCAGATGATTTCCTGGTAGGTTTTTTATCATTCTGAGTTTTTCATGTTTCTAAATTTAGAATGTCTTACTTTTTTTTTTTTTTAAGATTTATTTATTTTAGAGAGAGCACGCGTGCACAGGAGGCAGGGGAGGGGCAGAGGGAGAGAGAGAATCTCAAGCAGAGTCCCTACGGGGTGCGGAGACCAACTCACAACCCATCTCACAACCCTCAGATCGTGACCTGAACTGAAATGAAGAGTCGGCCACTGACCGCGCTGAGCCACCCAGATGCCCCTGGAATGTCTTACTTTTTAATTGCTAAAACCCTTTTATCTTGAAATCATTTGAGATGCTCAACAGACGTTTTGCTTCAGAAACTGGGAAGATAGTGTTTTATGGTGGTGTGGGTGTGGGGGGGTAAAAGGCAAAGGTGACAGGGCAAGGAGGGGACGTAGCCATGGGCTCTGGGCGATGTGTACAATTCTCTGTCTGCACTGGGGATGGGGGAGCACAGGGGACCTTCGTGGGGGAAGGAGCCGGCCAGGCATAGGACTCTGAGCAGGCTTCCTGGGGACGGGCACGTAAGGGAGGCCAGCTGGTTCCAGAGGGTGGCGGGCGCCTGCTGGGAAGGCCACCTGCTCCAGGGTGTTGAAGCTCAGCTCAGAGCTGCCCTGTGGGAATGATGAGCTGATGGGGCATGGGGGGTGGGTGGGGACGAGGTTTGGGGGGCCCAGGGGAGGGGCAGCTGCTCACACACCTTGGCCTCCAGCGCCTTCAGCCGCTCCGTCAGCTCTGACACTTTGCTGCAGTTGAGGCAACCTGCAGGGAGGGACGAGGCTGGGCCAGGTGTCCCAGGTTCCCCGTAGCACACCTTAGCCCCCAGGGGGACGCAGAATAGAGGAAAGGGGACAGACTCCTAATGACCCCAACCCATGTGCAGTGCAGGGAAGGAGCTACAACCTGGTCAGGGTGGGGCATGCCCTGAGGGTTTCCTCCGGCTCTGGAGCCCCTAGAGCAGAACCAGAGACCCACGTCCTGCAGCCTCGGCTTCCAAGATGCCTCCTTCCCTGGAAGCCAGGACAGGAAATCCTGCTGCTTCCCCCTGGGTGGGGCTGGCCTGGGCTTGCTGGCTTTGGGGACCGACACATCACAGCCTGGATGGTGCTGGCCTCAGGGGTGCTACCCCTCTGATCCTCCCTCCACAACCTCTGGCCAGGTCCTCCGGTCTCCTCAGCAATACCCCTAAGTGATCCATAGCCTTTCCGGCCCGTTATGCAACCTCCCAGCGGCCGCATACAGAGACTAGTTTACAGGCTCGTCTCTCCAAGATCCTGGGTGTTGGGACAAGTGTTACCCCAGTTCACATCTGAGGAAACTGAGCTCAGAGCAAGGATAGGGGAGTCCCTAATGAGTACAAAATCTGGGGTCAAGTCCCAGCTCTGCCTCTTCCTGGCTGTGGGGTCCTGGGCAGAGCATGTCTCCTCTCTGACCCTCGGCTTCCTCCTCTTTAACATGGGGACAATGATGCCTTCCTGGGGCTGGAAGATTTAAATGAGCTGACAATGGAAAGCACCTGGCACAGTACCTCACTCATTGCAGACGCTTATTAGAAAAGCATCATTTCAATAAAAAGCAGAAGCGGGGGGCTTGGGCCTCTGTCTGCCAGAGTCCGGGGGTCATGGGTCTTGGGGTACAGGGCCCAGGTCAGACTCCCTCTAGAGCCCTGGGGTGTACAGGGGTGGGCACTCCCCCCGACCCTCCACTGCTAGACCCAGCCGGTCTTAGGACCATCACCACATTGCCTGGGCCCCCACCAGGCCTCCCTTAAGCCAGAGGGACCCTAAGCAGCTGCCCTGGCACCTACCTGAGAAGGCTGTGGGCCGAAGCGCCATCCGTCGCATGGTGTTGCCCGACCACCTGGGCTCCACGAAGCCAGAGGAGCCTGCAACTAAGGGACAACGGGGGTGAGGGACCTGCCGCCCTGCACCGTCCTTGTTTCGGACCCCACCCTGCCCGTCTGCTGCTGTTGCCCCAGCGGGGATCTCTACTTCCCTTAGTGCAGAGGGAGACAGAGGCCCAGAGAAGTGGGACAGTTTCCCGGGATCACACAGCGTGAGCTGGGCTGAACTGGAACAAGACAGCCAACCTGATGGTGTTGGGGAGAGGGGCTCACAATGGGTGGGGGTGACAGTGAGGCACTCCCACTTTCCTCCCCCGCCCCCAACCCCAGCTGCCTGGGTTAAGATCTTAGAGCTAACAGGTGCAAGGCCGAGTCTCAGCCCTGCTACTCGCTGCATTTAAGACTTGTTATCTTTGGACCCGCCTATTTCCCAACCATAAAATGGGGTCCTCAGGTCACTACATCTCCCAGGCTGCTGGGAGGCCCGAGGAAGGCGATGTGTGCCAAGAGGCCCACTGGGCACACGCAGGGCCTGGCACACAGTGGGCAGCAGGGACAACGCCATCCACCCTCTCCTTGCCCCAACTGGTAAAAAGTCACAGAAGTGGATCCAGCCCTGGTTTTAAATGAAAACCAGAGGGAGGCTGGCTGCCTGGGAGGGCAAGGGGGGCTGTGTTCCAGGAGCCTACCCCTGCCACCACCCCTATGGAGAGCCAGCTGCCCTGGCCTGCCTGGCTTCGGGGGCCTGGTTTTCTCCACAGCCAGAGGGATGGGCTGGCCAAGCCAGAGGCAGAGGGCACAGCTGGAGGGGCTCTGGAACCAGCAGTAGCAACTGCCCCCCCCCCGCCCCCTAGGCCTGCCTTTTAAGGCCACAAAGTGCCGTCTGTCCAGGGGTGGGGAGGTGGAGAGAAGACCCAAATAAGGCACAGGCCTGGCGGCTTAGAGCCAGGCTGTGGGTTAGTGCAGGGAGTGAGGCGCCGGGAACTCAAACCAGACGGGTGCCTCTAGCTAGCCCTCAGTAGGGAGGCTGCCAGACCCCGTTGCACTACAGGGCCTTCGTTCAGACTGGGCCTGCATCCCCAGCATGCCCTCCCTAGGGACCTGTGACTTGCCCCAGTGCAGGGAGTGACTCTCCCCCAGGACAGAGGAAGAGGTGTGTTGGCACCCCAAGACTGGGTTAGGGACTGGGGACAGCTGAGGGGGGTGGAATGCCACTGTGAGCCAAGGCCAGTGCTAAGTGCTGTATCTATCCCAGCCCAACCCTAGAGTAGGTAATAACAGCTGACACTTAACAGTTAGCACTTAACCCCGGGCCTGGCACATTCTAGTAAACACGTCCCATGTCTTAACTCATTATCCTCCCCCAATCCTCCAAATGGGTGCTAGTACCATCTCCACTTTACAGATGGGGAAACTGAGGCACAGAGCTCCTCTGTCGCCTGGGCTCAGACAAATGGATGAGTGAATGGGAATCTCTCTCCTGGGAGAAAGCAAGAAAGCTGGAGCCTGGACTTGAACCCCGGCTGGACTAACTCCAGGGCCTGAGCTCCTTTCCCTCGGCCAGCTGGCTCCTGGAGTCAGCAGGCCGCACCGAGGCAGGGAGGCCTGGCACCGGCAGGAATGCAGGCTCCAGAGGGGAATGGGCTCCCTGAGCCCTCCTCACCCTCTTTGCTCCCAGGTGAAGATGTAAAAGGCCATTTTAGTTCCTTTTGCAAGACGCCTGCCAAAAGAAGCTGCTGTCTCTCCAAGCCCATGGAAGTTTGGGCTTTTTCTGGGATGAAACTGGGCAGACCATCTGCCCAGCCCGCCCTCCCCGCTACCTTGCTATTGTTCCCCTGTTTCTCCATGGCATTTCTCCAACGCGTCCTGTAACTATGTCAGTTCCCGAGTCCGCTGCCCATCATGCGCCCCCCTCCCCTGCCAGAACATGAGCCCCACCAGGGGGGGCCCTGTGCAAGGCCTGGAAAAGTGCCCGGTGCATAGTAGGACCTCAGAGGCCTCAGTAAACCTTCTGTTCATGAAGGCATGACTGAAGGCATGTTCATGAAGGCTGGCTGAAAAACGAATGCAAAACAAAATAAAAAGCAAAATACTGTGGACGGCAGACACCACGCTCTTAAAAATGAGCATAAATCTTCTAACACCACATGAGGGGTTCCCTGAGTCATTAATTTGTGCACTTGTGGTTGGAAATTCTTTTTCATCCAGTTTGCTTTCAGGCATTTCTCTGGGAGCCCGGAGGAGACTAGAAAAACCAATGAAAATACAGTTTGACCATCAACATAGATGTAACTGGCTAAAAGTCAAGGGCAAGTTAAAATTTTAAAAGGAAGGAAGGAAAGAGAAAAGGAAGGAAGGAAGGCTAAAAAAATAACAAAACTGTCCAAAAAAAAAAATCACAGAATATGTTGGTTTTGGTTTCAGGGTTCACAAAAACGATCCCCCAAACTCCTCCAAATTCTGATAAATGGACAGAACTACTTTAAGGGAAAACCAGGTTGTTAAATGGCCCTTGAGCACAGCAAATCCCAGTAGGGAAAAGGCTGAGGGTTGGCGAGAGGTCTCCTGTTATCCAAAAATATCACATACTTCCCATTGGTGTTGGGCTAGGGCCCTTAAAGCAGACCCTAGTGGGCTAAAAGCTCCCCTCACCCCAGCCTGGTGGTCTGTCCTAAAGGGCTGCCCCTCAGCCCTATAGTCACCCTCTCAGGGGCTCCAGGCTGGGTCTAGGATCACAAACTCCAGCTCCATTCTAGAAGCCTGACTGTGAGCTACTTCCCACCACCAGGGAGGTCTCTATCAGTATTGTGTGTGTGTGCACGCGCGCGCGCGCGCACACACACACACACACACACACACACACACACACACTGCTTCCCTACCCCCTTCCCCGAAGCAGTCAATCCTATGTCACCTCCCCGAGAAAGTCTTCCCCCAGGAAGCTTCCCAAAGCTTCCCCTTGAAGCTCTCATCGCTCCATCACTCCGTCTTGATCTGCACAAGGGCGGCATCAGGGATAGTTTTGAACCCTCTGCCCCCACAAGCAGCTCCCCTTCCCTCTGCCCACAACCAGGGTTAAGCTAAGAAGCCCTTTCTCATTGGGTCCTCATGAGAACATGAGGCCCTGAGTGGAGAGGCTGCCTGTCTGCACAGTGAGGTGGGGCTGTGGGGATTCAAACCCATGCTAAGCTGAGAATGCAGATTTGAGAAGTTGAAGAGTGTCCCTGGGCAGCATCTCTGACTTTTTCTCTCAGGGCAGGGGCTGGGAGAGGGCCTTCCTCATTCACAAGCCACCCACGGGTCTGCTGGGTCCAGTGACCACAGCCACAGGGAGGCTGCCTCCCCAGCCCCAGGCCAGGTGTCCTCCTGGGAATTTACTTTGCAAATATAAATATTTGCTGCTGTTGGCCTGAACCAAGGCTGGGGTTGGGATGGAGGGGCCGGGAGCTCCGAGTACCCTCCAGCGGTCTCTGGGAAGCCTCAGTCTGTGTCTGGCCTGGCCCTCTCTTCAGTGAAAATGAGGTTCCCATTAGCAGATTAGGTGCTGGAGAGCCAGGAGCAGTGCAGCAGGATGGGGGACATCGTAGCCAGGTGGTGGCTCCAAGGAGGTTACAGGCAAAGGGGACAGCTGCTACCTGGGCTGTAGGGTGGGAGAGAGGGCCAGTGTGGGCCTGGGCTGAGATGGAGGGAGGGCAGGGCTGGAGCACATCACTGGCGCGCCCAGGAGGATGGAAAAGGTAGCACCAGCCGGGGGTGGAGGATGGGCTGGCAGGGAGTCAGGAATGGGGGCCGCCAGGTCTTCCAGATGTGAATGGAGCAGAGGGGTGGCAGACATGGGCAGGTTCATGCAGCACTGAGCCCCCAGGATCCCGAATCCTCAGAGTGAAGCATAAACCTGACCTTGTAACTAGCATCTTGTTAGGGTTGGAGATGCGGACAGGCCCGGGACCCAGGAAAGGGATGGGCCACAACCTCCCATCTATTCTTAAGGTTTTGTGCTGTGTGACCTCGGGCAAACTTCTTCCTTCTCTGGTTCCCCACCACAGACGACAAGAGTTGCAGGGGTCCCTGGATGGGGAAGGGACATGTGTGCTAAGGACAGTGGGACATTGAGGAGCCGAGAGAGGGTTGTCTGACTCCAAGGGATCCCATGGGAGAGGAGGGGGAGGGAGCTCCTCTATCTTTCTGTCTGGGTGGGCTTCCGCCAGTCTCAGGGTTGCGCCAACAGTCTGGGTGCCCTGCCCTTGGAGTCCCTGGCTGGGGCTGCTGCACAGGAAAACTCCTGGCTCCGGTCGTACGGATGGACTTTGAATCTGGATGTGACCCTGAGCACGGCGTTTCCGTGTCCCAGCCTCAATTTCTACATTTGGACCTTCTGCACCGAGACACGATAGCATGATGCCGGTGAGTATGAGTCATGGTGCTGGGCATGGCAGACAGGGGACGCTTTCCTTCCCCTCGTCAATTTGATAGTGGGAGGGTCAGGTAGGGGGTTGGAATACTGCAGACCTCAAGTCAGAGCCCTGGCTCTGCTCTGAGAATCCCAGCTACGGAGCTTACTAGCAAGTATGACCTTGGCTGAGACCTATGCCCTCTCTGAGCCTCACTTTCATCATCTGGACATTGGGGCTGATCTGTTTGCTGGGACTCGTCCCAGAGGCAGGATCACAGGGAGGCCACAGCAGCCCTGCCCTCAGCAGAGCCCACCAGGGGGTCAGGACCAGCAGATTTAATACATCCTGGCCTTGGCCCTTCCTCAGCTGTGCTCTAGTGGGAGCAGGCAGCTAGGTGAGACCTCAGCCTGGCTCCCTCCCCGCCATCTAGTCCCCACTTCCCAAGGCCTGGAGACACTAATAGAGGCTTGGCTAGGCAGGTCCTGATCCTGGCTCTTCCCGTGCTGAGTGACTCCAGGTCAGTCCATTCACCTTTCTGAGCCTTGGTTTCCCCATCTGCAAAATGGGGCCCATTCCAGTCTTTTCCTCCCAGGTTGTCATGAACATCAGAGAACATCCCTGCTCATCATCAGAGTGAACATTCCCATTCCGCAGATGGGAAAGCCAGGGCTAAGAGCTGTGAAGGAACAAAGATTCTGGAGACTAAGGCCCTGGGAATGGGGGTGGGGAAGCACACAGAGGCCTGCCCGCTGAGCAGCTGACGAGAAGCGTGGTCTCAGAGGTCGGAAGCAGGATAGTCCCAGAGAGCCATCACAGAATCCCCAGCACAGGCGCCAAAGGTTCAAGGCCTGAGTCTCTGGTGCTCGTATTAAACGTGGGCATTTTTCAATACCAGGTGACTTCCAGATAGAGACAAGATTCAGAGAGGTGGAATGACTTGCCCCAGGTCACACAACAAAGCACAGCTGATCGAGGTCTGGATTCTGGAATGAGGGGTCCTCTCTCTCCTTCTTCAGGCCACCCAGGCTGCTCTGGTGACATAGCTCTGTGGCCCCAGGTCCATGTTCCAGTGCTGGGCAGACTACAAGGTCAGTCACCAGCAGAGGAAACAGGTGGGGAGCTCAGCCCAGCTGTCAGAGGAAGGGCAGGGCCTGAGATGGGCCTGCAATGTCCCCACACTTCCCCACCCCCATTCCCAGGGCAGCTAGCAGAGTAGTTTTCCAGAATATCCAGGCCCGAGCATCCCTTTACTCAGCTCTCACTGTATGGGTTTGAGAGAGGCCCCTCCTGTCCCATCCATCATCACATTATGCCTACCCCGGGCAGTCAGGCCACCAGCAAGGTCTTTACTGTTGTATTTCATCCTCAAGACATCCCTGGGAGGCAGACTCTAGTATCATGCCCATTCCACAGGTGAGAACACTGAGGCTTATTGTGCAGGAGTCCTAGGCTCTGCAAGAGCGCACGGCCGCGTGGTGCTCTTTAGAGAGGGTGCCCCTTCCTCTGAGTGGGCATGACACCAGGGCCACCGGCTCTGCAGCCTCCCCATTCCCCAGCCCTTGCACAATGACTTGCACAATGCATGGGGAGTCCCCGGCCCAAGGCCACACAGCTGGGGTGTAGCAGATCTGGCCTGGCCCATGAAGCCCTGGATACTCCCGGCCCCAGGCTGGGACCTGGAGACACTGTGAGGGAGATGGTAGATGTCAGGGGTGGCCCAGCCCTGCCTGTCTTGCACACCCACCATGCCATCATCAGAGCCCTCAGCCCTGATCGTGGCTTCTGGACGAACCGCCTCCAGCTGTGGGAGTCAAGGGCGCGGGCTCTGCCCCCACCTGTCCCCCACCCTCACCAGCTCCACAATGGCCCCGCGGACCTGTGAAGGTCTGCCCTTGAGAGGGAAGCCAGGGACAGAGCGGCCTTTGTCTGGGCAGGCCTGCTAGGCCCAGGTGGCCCCCACACTCTGGGGATTCACCCCCCCACCCCCGCCAAGCTCCTCTGTAGCCTCTTTGGCAGCAGGCCCTCCTGGCTGGCTCTCCTCCTGCCCCCTGGGCCCTTCCTCCTTGCTTTCTCGCAGCATGGAGGGGAGGGTCCCGTACCTGGTTCCCCATCATGTCTGCCCTCCCACATAGGCCTGGTGGTCTCCTCTCAGTCCAGGACTCCTACTGGCCATCAGGCAGCTCCCCTGCTCCTCTAGCCACCCCACCAGAACTGGGGACCCCCCAGCCCCACAAGGAAACCTGCCAGGCCCCCTCCCCACCCCACTTTGTGGTGAGCTCTGCCCCACACCCTGGGGGACTCTGGGTATGGGACTCCACCTCTCTGGGCCTCTGGTCTGTGAGCCAGGACTCAGCCAGGGCTCTCATAGGGTCCCGGGGAGGTGGAGCTTGTATATCTTTCAAGATTGGTGATTTCTGTTAGCATCACGTTCTCCTGAGCCAGAGGCCATGTCTCACGCGTTCATGGAATCAGAATAGGTCTTGCGACTGAGGCTGCTTTGGGGGCCCCAAATGGCCCCTTTTCACTGAGGTGCCTACAGGACTGCTTCTGGGGCTGGTTCCAGGCTGGTCTGTCCTCTGGAGGGCCATTGTGGGAACACAGCCCTTGGTGACCAAAGTCTTCCTCTGAGTTCAGGTAGGCATTGAGGGCAGGAGCCACCTGGTCTGCTTAGCAGAGAGGCAGGTGGCCTGGAGAGGGCTCTCCAGGTAAGCATGTGGCCAGAGCATGGGGAGGCCTGGGCTGTACTTGGGTGCTGGGCGCTTAGCCCTGAGCCACACGTATGGCCTGCAGAGGAGGGCCCCGGGGTAAAAGAGCCCCCCTCCTGTGCCTGGGACATGCACTGTGCGTGGTATGCCCATCTCTTGGACCTTGACGGCCACTTAACAAATGTACACCCACCACTTCCCGGAGCCCGGGTTTTTTCGCCTGTAGGACGGATACAAGCATCCCAACCATGCCAGCCCGGACCTCAGCGGTGCTTCGCTTCCGAGAGCTGGGAGGGTATCCAATGGACATGTCCATATGGGTTTTCCCCTGAGTTTGGAGGAAAGACCTGGGATGGAGTGACTCAAGATGTGAGCTCCGGGGCATGTATGGAATTTCTCCAGAGCTCCTGAGAGTCCCCCAGGAGGGAGGCGGGTCCACACCTGGGGGGCAGCCGGCCCCAGCTGTGTCCGAGCTGTGCCTCAACAGTGGGCCCCAGAGGATATGCTGCTGAGTGTGCAGTGTCCCCCAACTCAGCAAGGGTTGACCGCTCCCGCCCGCGCACCCGAGGGAAGGCACCTGGCCTGTCCCTCAGGGGGTCCTACCTTCCTCGCAGTTTACCCCCGAGTGCCCGGGGCAGCATCTCCACTCACGCGCGGTCACCGTCTTGTACATCACCTTGTACGAGGGTCTCACCACGGTTCTATAGCTGAAAGAAGGACCCAGGGGGCCAAACTCAGACAGAGTCTTCTGCTGCCTTTCCTGCTCACCTGGATGTCCATGAGGACAATGTCCGGGGTTCTCTGCCACCTTTGGGCCCCTCTGGAGCCTCTCTCTGGCTATATTCTGGGATTCAACCCCTCCAATCCCTCCTAACTCCCCAGGTTGCGGGGGGTGGGATCCAGATCCTAAATGGACAGGGAGTCCCTGCAAGCTGGCCTGTCCCCAGAAGTGAAGTCTCACCCAGCAAATGCATGTGGGTAACTGGTGGACTCCTTCCTCTAGGAAGCCCTCCAGGTGCCCCAGGAGCAGAAGGGGAGGTGCTGAGATTGGGCATAGGGCTGATGTTCCCTTTGCTCCACCCGCCGTCGCGGTCCCAGCCTTGCCCTGCACTTCTGATGCTGGACTGTGACCAGGCCTCTGTTCACGCTGTGCCCCCACCTGGAATGCCACTGGCTTCTGAGTCACTGGGGTCTTACTCACCTGCTCCCCGGGCAGCTCATGGGCCAGGGGCAATTCTGCAACACTCGCTGAAGGTAGGTGCCATTTTGCACATGGCACGAGATGGTCCGGGTCACCACGTAGGAGCACCAGTTCCTGAAACAGACCCACAGCGAGCAAGCTCGGGCGCTGTGCACAGCCCCTGCCCAGGACCCAGGGTGGGGGGTGAGTGAGGAGGTCCAGGTTCTCTCCAGGAGCCCCTGAGTCTCTAGGTGGAGAGACCCCTGAGCTCTCAGAGTCCTTTGGGCCCCAGTGGGAGTCTTAGGGGCACTGTGGCTGTGGGAGAATCCAGAGCCCTGGAGGGGGCAGCTGTGCTGGGGGCGCTCGGAAGGGCTTGGGGAATGAGCTGTGGGGCACAGGACAGGAGCAAGGTATCTTTGCCCAACCTCTCCTTTCTCAATATCACTTCTCTCTACCCACAGGCCATCCAGGTCACCAATACCTCCTGCAGCCCACCCGGACAACAGCAGCAGCCCCTCCGTCCTGCCCCTCAGTGGCTCCCAAGAAGGAGTGCCCTAAAATGGAAACCTGGCCTTATCCTTCTCTCACTCGCCTTCATGCTCAGTACTCCAGTGCTCATACCTGCTGGGATCCTGCACCTCCGGGCCTTTGCTCACACTGGGCCCACTGCCTGGAGCACCCTGCCTCTACTTTCCCACTTGTTACCTCCGAGCTTCAAAGCCCTACTGTGCTGTCACCGCTCCCCTTGCCCTTGCCCATCTCCACCTACCCTAACAGAATGATGGTTCTCTGCTCAGATCCTGCCTTGCCCTTGCCCATCTCCACCTACCCTAACAGAATGATGGTTCTCTGCTCAGATCCTGCAGCACTCTGTATCCCCATCAGGCTGAATGCAGCTGGCAATTCATGTCTGCCTCTCCCTCCCCTGACATGACAGAAGAGAGGCTGTCTGCCTCATCCTTGGGTTCCCTCTGTGGAACAGCCAGATGTCCCAAGCATGGAGGACTGACTTCTCCAAATGCCGATTAATAATCATAGTTGTGCTGCATATATCAAGCAACTACTGTATGCTTCATAGTGCACCGCATATATTGAGCACCTACTGTATGCTAAGGGTATTTACATTCACCTTCTTGGTGAGCCAGGCTGGCACCTCCCCACATTTTACAGAGGGGAGGGGAAGACAACTGTTCCTGTCCCAGACCTGGCGCATGGTAGAGGCAGATTTGCACCCAGGAATGTGGATGGCCCACCCTGGATCCTGACTCCAAGCCAGAGACCTCAGCTTCTGTTTCCTCCCCATCTCCTAAGCCATGGTCTGTGGTTCTGTAAAGGCCCCAACCTGGGAACCTGCTGACCCCAGGCTCGAGGTCACAAAGGAAAACTCTGGTGGAGTGGCGGGCTCAGGCCGCAAAGGGTCACCTAAAACAGTGCCTCCTTTCCCAGCCCCAGAAAAAAATGCAGGGCCCATGACCCTGTGCAGGCTGAGGGCTGCTGAGCGCCTGGAATGTTCCGGCCATCACAGAGGCATCTGCTGCCACCAAAATCAGTCTCCTGGCTGCTGTCCCACCCCCCCCCCCTGGCCCACCCAGAGGACAATGTCCTTGGCTGGTACCTGCCATCTAACCCACTGTGGGACCCTGGGGAAGTCCCCTCCCTGTCTGGTCACCCTGGAATCAGTCCGGGATGCAGGAACAGCCCAGCCAAAGGCAAAGGGGGGAAAAGGGATGGCTCTGTTTAGACCAGTGACCTGGCAGAAGCTCCATCCAGCCCGTGGCCAGCCACCCCACGTGAGAGGTGACAGGTGCTTGTTACAGTGCTGTTGGGAAAGATGCAAAGCCAGGAACCGCCTAAACAGCCGCGGGACCCCTAGACCTGGAAAACCAGATGCTGAGCTAGAGCCCAAGTTCTCCACACACAGACCACCGTGTCTGCTTAAGTGAAAAACGCATCAGGAGGAGAACGATTGCGTTTCTATTCAAATGAGGAAGCCCAAAGACTATACGCCCATTCATAGATATGTGTGCACAAAGGTAGGAAAAATCACAGGTTTGCGGCAAATGACCCCCTCTGGGGGCAGGGAGGGGCTCTCCATCTGCTCAGACCCCTGCACTAACAGCAGCCTTGGGTTATCATGCTTGCTGCACACCAGGAGCTGGGGCCAGGGCCTTTCACACACCAATTATGAGCACCACTTTACAGATTGGAAGACAGAGGCTCTGGGGTCTGGGATGTGCCCCATGGCCTCTAAGCCATGGTCATGGCTGAGCTGAGGTCCATCTGATCCTAGAGTCCGCCCTCTTAACCTCTGGCTGGCAACTTTTCTCCTAATGAGCAGGTGGGGATTTTAAAAGTAAAATACATTTCAAAAAGGCCCTCCATCCTTTAGATCCCCCTGGTCCCTGGAGCTGTGCTTTTTGAACCCGGAGTTTTGTTTGCTTGGCGAGGGGTGGGGGCATAAGACCCTTTGAGAAAGTGATGTCGGTTGCAGCTCCTCTCCAGAAAAATGCATAAAACTCAGAGTGCAAGTTTTGGAAGGGGGCTTCCTGAGGGGTATCTACAGACACAGGGCCATGTGCCCTCACCCACACATGAGCGCACACCCCTCCCTCCATGCCCACACCCCGGACTGCGTTTGGGGAGGTGCGCCTGGGACTGCCCACAGTTGCCTGATCTGCCCCTTTTTCCCGGGGGTGGGAGCTAGAGAAAACAATTTTCTTCTTCTTTCTTAATTAAAATCGCCCCCAGGTGGGTCACTGCCTGGCTCCCTGGTTTATTTCTCATGACCTTGAGTTTGCTTGAATCTCCTGCTTGGGAGATATGGAGCTGGTGGCTGACTAGCCAGAGGGGGAGACTCAGGATATGTGGGGTCCAAGGTCAGCCCCTGGCCCCTTCCCTGGGGTGTGGGGAGTCACCAATAACCACAGCCCACCCCTCCCCGACCTTGAAGACCCCAGCCCGCACTGTTCTCTGGATAAATCCAAGTTGTTCTGCAGATCCCTAGCCCGGACCCCCTGTAAATTTTCCACCCGGACAGCAGGAAGGAGGTCCTTCTAAAGCACAGACTTAATGTGGCCACTGCCTGCTCTGAGTCCACAGTCCGCCATGGCTCCTCATTGCCCTGTGAGCCCAGACTGACTGGTCCTGTAAGGAGGGGTGGGCACCTCCAGGGGTCCCTTTCAGCAGCCCTGAGCTCTTCCCTTCCCTGTGGATGCTGACAGAGGGCACTGGCAGGGGCCAAGCCACGACAGGGCTCAGCCTGAGGGTGCTTAGGGACGTTTGCTGAATGACCGAATGATCAAGAGCAGAGAGTAGGCCTGGGCAGGGGAGCCATGACCGAGGTTCCTGGAGATGGATGCAGTACTTGGAAGCCGGCCTACAATCCTGCCGCCCCTGGGGACCCTCTCTCCTGGGACGGGACGTGGTCAGTGAGAAGGTGCCCAGGAGCCCCCAGTGCTGAGTCTGTGGGATAGAGCTAGGACAGGGGCTGGGAGAAGGTGGCACTTCCCTTCTGGGCTTGCCACTCGTGCCCACTCAGCACCTCCCAGGCCCCCAGAGGCTGCTGGAGGAGAGAAAACAGGCCAGACCAGCTCAGCCTGGCACCGGCTGCCCCCACGAGGGCCCCCCTCCCACCTGCCCTCCAGTCCCTGCCACGGGGGCCCAGGGGACTTTGTCTCTGCGGGGCCCAGGGCTGTGATCCGGAACAGTGATAGCGGCTAATTGCAGGAGGCAGCCAAGCGGGCCAGGGGCCAAGGGCCGTTATGAAAAGAAGAGGAAAGAAAGGAGACGTATGAAGTGGGGGCGGGGTGATTAGAGCCAGAACCCCACTCTGGAGGAAAAGTTCTAGTCCTGGCCCTGCTACTTCCTAGCTCGGTGACCTTGGACAAGGCCCTGTCTCTCTCAGTGACTCACTTTATCCATCTGCAGATGGGGACAGCAGGATCTCCTCTGGCGGAAGAGATTTCACACACACCACATAGCCACATAGCCCGGCGCTAAGAGCTGTTGTTCTTGGACTGGGGCTCAGACCCCACAGCCCACAGCTGGGGTCCAGCAGCTTCCCTGAGAGACCTCAGCACAGCACCTTCCATCCAATGTCCTTGCCTTGACTTTGGGATAGAGATTGCCAGGCTCTGCATTTAATAGGGGGGGCACCTGAGGCTCCAAGAGAAGTCACATGGCCAGGTCACCCATGTGGGCACAGAGCTGGGATTTGAGCTCCCGGCAGAGGGGCTGGGGAAGAGAATTCTCCCCTCTCCTTGATTCTAGGACTTGCCCCAAGAAAGTCCACCCTGCAGGAGGAAATGGCCTGGGACACTGGTGATGGCTTCTATTAGAGAACCACAGTGCTGAGATGGGGTCGTTAAAGGAAACAGGGATTCAGAAGGGAAGGGACCTGGGGGGGGTGTCAGGAAGCAGCCCCAGCAGGGACTGGGGGACATACAGAGGGGCAGGGGTGAGCCAAGGCAGCTCTGCACAGACCCCAGGCACCCTGGTTCTGGGGGTCTCAAAGTCTTGCCACATTCCTGGGGCTGGGGCAGCCCCTTGGATGCCTTCCAGGGCCTCCCCCTCCCCAGGCACAAAGCCTCTTTTCTGCTTCTGATCCCTTGGCTGCCAAGGGGCGCCTGGGGTGCTTGGCTGGGGGTGGAGGGAGGTCTGATGGCATGTGACGTCCCCATGCTATCTCCAACAATGCTGGGACATGGCCACAAGGGGAGGTCCTGGCAGCTGAGGACCACGGATTCCTCCAGCTACGGGTCCCTTCTTCCACCTCATGTCCGTGATAGCAGGAACCACTATTCATCCCTCTTGTGGTGGACCATCCCCCCTCAAAACAGGCCAGTGGGCCGGGGAGAAGGGGAGGAAAGGGGAACACTGAGGAAACGGAGAACCGGGGCAATGAAGTGACCTGTCTGGGGTCACACACTGAGTGAGGACCAGAGCCGGGACTCCTAACCTCAAGCTGCAAACCTTTCCCAGACCCACCAGCTGACACCTTCTCCTAGGGTGCCAAGGACATGGGATTGGGAAACTGGCTGGCCGGGATTGAGGTGCCGCTTTCCCTCTCTGGGTCCCATTCTGATCTGTAAAACGGGGACAATGGCATTGCCCGTAGGGCTTTGGTGATGCTAGGCCACTGTGAGCCTTCTGTGAACAGATGGGGTTCGGTCACAGTTCCCAGTGACCACCAGCTACCTGCCCAGGGCCACCATCTTGCTCCCACCCAGGAAGCCCTGGTGGGTGAGAATCCCAGGCTGGGAAGCCCTGCCCTGGACTGGTTGGAGGGCAGTCTGGACCTTAAACCCTCTCCACCATCATCCTGAGCCCGACAATGGGAATTCGAATTTAGGGTCTTGGTTATCTTAGCACCTAGGATCCTGGGGGTTCACATTCATGCCCTGGGCAGGTCCTATCCTCCTTCTGAGCCTCAGCTTCCTCTTCCGTGAAAGGGAGATCATCAAAATGCATGCCTCCCATGGCAGCTGGGAAGATTCTGGAGGTGGTGGGTGCAGGTAATTATGCCCAGCCCAGGTCAGCTGTGGTCAGCATGCAGTAGGTGGGAGTGGCTGTGATATGGGCCACCTGCCTGCTCCTGTCTGAGATGCCTGCTATTCTGGCCTCTGATGCCTAGGCCACCTCTGCCCTCCAGCCCTAGCCATGTCACCTGCTCTTGCTAGCCCAGCAAGGGCATGCTGGCCCCTGACCACTGGGAAAGGGAATTTCTGAAAAGAATTAAAGAATTGAGGCCCTAGGGGGTGGGGGCCCCAGGAAGGCCTTTGAATGGGATGAAAAGGCCTGAAGCGGTCTGGCTACTCCGCATTGTCTGCCTCAAACAAATGGCTGGCCTTCGAGAGGGACCCCAGCAGGGGTAGGGGCTGCAGCCAGGACAGGGGACAGGTTCAAATGCTGTTATCATGGCCGGAAAGACACAGATTCGAATCCCAACACTTCCATTTATGGCCCATGAACCCAGACAATTATGCTAATTCTCTGGGGTCTCAGTTTGCTCATCTGCTAAATGGGGACAGTGCTTCCTACTTTACTCAATCCTTGAAGGATTCATGACCATGCTGCAAATAAGGGGCTCCTCCCTGGGGAGATGCTCCACAAACACCAACAGAGAGAATGTTCCCAGCTCCAGAAACAGCAGCAGGAATACAGAATGCTCTCTCCAGTCTCTGATTAAAATGCCAGGTCCCTGGGGTGGCCACTGACCCACAGATCTGTGAAATTCCACTCCAGTCTTCTTCCTCCAAGGGAAATAAATAGCCGGGGTACTAAAAAAAGCCGAGAGAAGGGAAAAGGGAGGGGGGTCCCCAAGGGTCAGCTGGGGGATGTGCTGGGCTTTTCCTGCGTGCAGGGAAGGGGGCCCTTGAGCTAGGGCGATGGAAGTCCCAGGAGGCGGGCTTCTCCCTCGCTGTTCCCCTTCCCCCACTTCTGGGGCTCTGGAGGTGAAGTGGTGGGGGCGGTGGAGGAGTCTGGAAGGGAATGCCGGCTCAGACACATGGAGTCGGGGACCCCCGCACTGCCGGGAGCCTCCTCCAGATAGCGGGGCTGGCCCAGGTCCCTACTCCCATCCGGCTGGCACCAGGTCCCCTTCCCAATCCTTGGCTTGCACGGAGGTTGAAGAGAGGTTTGCGGGGGGTGGGGAGGGGTGCGTGGAGTCCCGGCCCCGGGGCTGGCAGGGCACAGAGGTGGTGGGAGGCGACCCTTACCTGCGTCTGGAGAACGGGGCTCCCCCGACGCTCCACGCGGCGCTGCCTCCCGGGAGCAGGAGCCCGAGGCAGAGCAGCGCCCAGGCCCGCGGGCCGCCCATGCTGCGCCCGGCGCCCTCTCCGCGCGGCCCCTCGCCGTCGCCGCCCCCAGCCCGCCGTCCCCGCCCGCCCGCGCCGCCAGCCTCCCCCGACGCGCGGAGCCCGGTTCCCAGCGCGGCGACGGGAGGGCGGGCGGGAGGCGGGCGCGGGGCGGGGGCGCGCGTTCCCGGCCTCGCCCGGCCCCGCGGCGCGGCCCCCCGCCCCCTGCACGGCCGCTGCCAACCCGGAAGGAGCCCCGGGGGGCCGGGCGCCCCCGCCCGGAGGCCCGTCAGGTGCCCACCTGAGCCCGGCGCCCTTCGCCGCATGACAGTTTGGGGGCCAGGGTACCAGTTCCGAGGTGCCCTCTCACGTGCTTCAGGCGGGGGAGCTGAGCCCGGACCCAGAGCCGCCACGCCTGGACTAATGATGCCAGGGCCCTCATCCCCTAGCCGTGCATGCAACAAAGGCTTCCTGAGCAGTGAGCGCCACTGTGTGCAGAGCACCTCGCCTCCGCTTCACATCCTGTCTACGTTTAATCTTCAAACCACTCTAGGCGCGGTGGGCACAATCATTCCCATTACACAGAGAAGTAAACTGAGGCCCAGGCGCTTGTGGCTGCCCCTGCCAGGAGAAGCCCCTGCTGTGTCTCCACTCTTACTGCCATTTTACAAATGGAGAAACTGAGGCACAGAGAGGCTCAGTCTGCCAGTGGTTGGAAGAGCCAGGGTTTGAACTCATACATTCTGGCTTCAGAGAGGTCAGCTTTTTTTTGGACCGGGGTGCGATAGGGTGGGGGAGCAGAGGGAGAGAGAGAGAGAATCTTAAGCAGGCTCCACACCCAGCTCAGATCCCGTAGCCGGATTTGATCTTATCAACCTGAGATCATGACCTGAGCCAGCCAGATGTGCCAAAGCGGGGTCAGCTCTTAACGACAATTAGGGAAGAGGGCAGGTAGCTTGTCAGTCTGGGCCTCAGTTCCCCATTTGTAACAAGATAAGGACTGGCTTAGAATGGAGTTTCTTTATCTGGGGTACATGGATGAGCTTCTGGGGAGACAGGTGTGAATCCCTCAAAGGTGTATACAAGTGTGTGTGTGTGCATGATGTGTGCGTGTGTGATGGAGTGTGTACATGTGTGATGTGTGCATGTGCTAGTTTGATGGGTGTTTCTGGTATGTGTGTCATGCCTGTGTGCACGTGTGCGATGGATGTCTGTGGTAGGTGTGTGTGCTTCTGGGGAGGAACCACAGCTATCATTAGAGGTGACCTCTCCAAAATCTCAGGACAGTCTCTAATCTTCTCTTCTGCCTGGACTGACATGCAGCCGGCAGTCCCAGGCTGGGGAACCCCCTGCCCAGCTTGGCAGCACACCAGGGGCCTGCCCTTCAGGATCCTGCCGTGGCTTGTCCAGACCCAGACCCAGGATCTCTACTAGAAACACTCCAGCAGGAAGGATGTGCCAGCCCCTGCCTCCCTGGGACGGCCTCCCTGGGACTCACCAGGGCTGGGCAGCACCAGATTCTGTGCCTAAGCAGGGTGGTGCCAATATAGAGGGAGCTGCCCCCCCTACCCAAGGGCACAGGTAGTGAGAACTAGGTTCAAACCCTGCTCTGCTCTTTGCCCCAGTTAGCTTGGGCAAGTCCTGCCCCTCTCCAGCCTCAGTTTCTCTTTGTAAGGACAGCTGCACCTTCCTCATGTGGTGGGCCATTCGATGTCATGGCCATGCCAGGGCATCCACTGTCCCCTGCTTCACATGGCCCCCCAAGTGTGCCCCACTTCCTCCAAAGACATCATCACAGCATCAACTTTGCTCCCTTGGGGAGCTGCCTCCCTCCCTTCCGTGTGCAATTTTGGGACACCTACTTTATGCTGGCTGTCTGACCTCCCAAAACATAGCTTGGTGCCTCCCCGGTTAGCCCTTGGTTTTGCCATGAGATCAGTGACTTCATCCCCTGGATGACTGGTCATTCCCAAGCGGCCACCTCCTGAGAGGATCCCAGCCCCACCAAGGATGAAAAACCATCTCCCCAAAGGGCACTTTGGAGGGCAGCTCTGAAGGAAGGAGAAGGGATGGGCACTGGCTTCTGTTCGACAGAGTGCCTGGGAGGGCTTGTGAGATGGCTGGGACCCCCGCTGGGTGCCACAGGAAGAGGAGACTGCCACAGATTTGGTCCGGTGATTACTGGCATACACAGTCCTCCGTCACTGCCACCAAGCTCATGGGAGCTGCAGGCCACCACAGGACTTCTCCCGCAAGAGAACCCTCTCTAAAAAGGGAACTTTGAACAAGGGATCCTCTCAGGAAAAGGTGTTATCCACATTTGGTCCTGTCCTGGCTGAGGCTGGGATCTCCTGGGGTCTCCTATAAGCTCCTGGTGGTGCTGTCTAGGGGTTCCTGCCTAGTGCCAACCCCCCCCCCCAATTCCAGAGCAATCACTGGGAGCCATGTGACCTGGGATAAGTCACCTCCCCTCTCTGAATCTCACTTCCCGGCCTGAAAGAACAAGCTGTTGGAGATTTTTGAGATCCCTCTGGCTCAGGAGTTAGCTTCTTGGGCAAGTGTGAAAGATCTGGGTCTCCATGTGAGGTCCTGGGGGCACGGCCTTCTGAAAGCCCCTGCTTTAAGCACACACTTTCCTGGGAAATGTCATCCTGTTTTCTGGTCCTCTTTCCTCCCTGCGCAGGGAGGGCAGGAAATGCTGCGGGGACCTGGGGATAGGTCATTTGAGGTTTCAGTGTTTGCTGAGGCAGAGGAGAGGGGCCTGCTGGCTGTCCCTGTGGGCGGGGCCTCCTCCCTCAGGGCCCGGTCACGACCGACCGCCAGTAAGAGCAGGGCTTCCGTTACTGAGTGCTGACTGCGTGCCAGGTGCTGTGCTAAGCATTTTGCTTGCATTGTCTCCTGCTCTCCTCTCGGTCCCCAGGGAGGCCACCTTCGTATCCCCAGGTGTGCGGCTCACCTGAGGAGGGCCAGGGAGCGAGGGGTGCCGGGTCATGCGCGCATGCCAGTCGAGTCCCACAGCGGGGCTTTAGGGAAAAATAGGACTTGGCTCAGATTTGATGCCTGTCTGGGAGCTGGTGAGGTGAGAGAAAACACGTGGGCACACAAGTGTGGACCACACAGGGACGCGGGGACACACACACATACCCCCTCTTGGAGCAGCAGGCCATGGGGTCCGGGAAACGCAGCCCTTCTGGTGTGGATTCACCGACACGTCCACTCGGCCTGGTCCAAACAGGAAATGCTATTCTCATAGCAAATAAACCTGGGCCGCAGGCTCCCTTCCCTGTGAACCCCCACTTGGAGCCTGTGCTGAGGGCCCCTTTCCTCTGCTGGTGTCTCACACGATAGCCTCCCTGGCTCAGGGGTGGGGGGTGGGCATGATTATCAGCTCCGTTTGCATACCAGCTGGGCTGAGACCGGGAACTCCACCTGATCTGTACCCACCTTGTCCAAATTCTGGAGGTGAGGAAGGAGCTCCAGTGGGCTGGGGGCTAAGGGGTGCCCACAGAGCTGTGTAGCAGCCCCTGAGAGGCCCCGGCCTCCAGCCCCGGCACTGCCTGGGGTGTCATGAAAGGGAAAGGGCCCGGGAAATTTGTCAGTGGCCTTCAAAGCTTCTGCCCAGACAAAGGGCAGGCCCAGAGGGCTAGGCCTTCCCCAAGAGTTTCCAGGTTGGGGAACAATGCCCGCTTTCTGTGCCTTTGATCTGGAGGCCTGGCCCTGTTGCCCCTCTGTCCCAGAGCCTAGGACATCCCATGGGGCCAGAGTCGGGGGCGCTGCCCTCGCCCCCTCCACCCCCCAAGAGCCTGCAGCTGCCTGGCCAAGTTATTTATGCTCCATGGAGCTGCTGTTCCCACCCAGCTCACTCCGTCCTCACAGAGCTGGGTCTGAGGCTAGAAGGGAATGGTAGGAAGGAAGGTGTCAGAAAGTCATAAATTAGGGCTGCAAGAGGGCCTTCTGCCGTCCTCAGGAATCTTCGGGAGGAGAGGCCTGCACCTTTGGGAGTGGGAGGAAGATAACAAAGTGGCGGGATGGGGCACAAGCTGGCATGACAGAACTGGGTACTGGATCTGGAGTCAGGAGACCGGGATGTTCTGTGTGATCTAGAACTGGTCCCTTCTCTCTGGGCCTCAGGCCTCCCATCTGGAAAGTGGGGGTGATATAAGACTTGGGGACTCTCCTGTGACTGTGCTCTGTTGACGGTGAAGGGATGGACAAATGAGAGGCCTTCTGCTTAACATTTGTCCCATTTCCCATCCTCTGGTCCCTCCCCCCAAATCCTCTCTCCTTTCACCTTTCTGCCTCCCACCTCTGTCCCATCTGCCTCCTATGGAGTCCCTTACTCTGTTTCTCTTTTCACACCTGTCCTCCTACAACAATGGGTTAATGAAGTCTCCTTAGGCAGCATCCACCTAGCTGGGGGAGGGAGGGGCGGGTAGAGGGGGGAGCTGTGTGCTCTTTCACACTAGAGTGTCAATGACTAATATGTTGAATGTTTTTATATGTTGGAGGGCAGTAAACAGAGATTCTTCCTCACTTAAGTCCTAAATCACTGGTGGTGGAACTTCTAGACTAATAAGGGAGATGTTTGGTGACCAATGGTCTAGGAACAAGGTCTGTCAAGTGAGAGGGACTTCTGAGTGGGAAGGTATCTATCTGCCAGCCCCAGTGAAGTCAGGGCCCCAGCCCCCCACCGCTGGATACATGTGGAGGGGTGGCCATAAGTCTCTGTGGTTAGATGCGTGTGGCAGGTGTCAAGGGCAGGCAAGAGGAGCCACTCAGAGCAGAGGCCCCAGGACCCTGCCAGTCCTAGGTGGCACCTGCTGGGCCGTGAGCATGTGATACCCCTGACATGAATGGTTTCCATCAGCAGAAGTACTGCAAAGGGGGAAGAGGAAAATGAGAGGGATGGGAGAGAGAAAGAGCCCGAGGGAGACAGAGGGATAGAGAGAGGTACTCAGAGAGAGGGAGAGGGAGCCGGCCAGTCAGTGATAGAAGAAGACAGGTGAGCCAGGGAGATGTAGCA